TAATAGGCACCTAAGAAAAATCTGAAGTTGGTTAGTAAATATAATGCATCTTGTAGATGCACAAAGCCAAATTTCCAAGCAATGTCAACACATTCTCTCTACAGGTCTTTGCAATTTTCCACATCAATATTTTGGCACGTAACATCACTTTGATTTATGTGGACATATTCAATTTGTGTGCACAAATTCAGTTTGAGCACACAAAACTCAACTTAGCATGGGCAAAATTCAGATGTGAAAAAGCAAACAATTTTAGAACCAAAATTTAAAAAACCTCTAAAATACAGAATCTCCAAAATTAATAAACCCTCATGCTTCAGGCAGAAACCAATCACTGACATTTGAATTAGGAAAAAAATTCCCTTATGGACACAATGACACCCTCCAGGGATACACATCCACCCCCTAACTGTCCTTAGTGTGAGGAAAGTCTCATCTGTGCCTCTTGTGGGTCAGCTCCCTAAAACCATCAACCTCTGGCAACACAAACACTACCCTCACTTTCCTCATAGGTAAGCAATAGGCATACATCAACCCCCAAGTGTTCAGAGCATTCCCTGTAAAGTCTAGTCCCTATTCCACTGACCACTCAGGGTGTGTCTAGAGTATAGGGGTTTTTGGAAAAAAAAAGTGGCCTTTTTAAAAAAAAACTTCCCCTGCATCTAGACTGCTGCCACGTTCTTCTGAAAGTAAATTGAAAGAATGCGACAGTTTTTTCGACCATGGAAAACCTCGTTTAGTGAGGAATAACGCCTTTTTTCAAAAGTGCTCTTTTTCAAAAGTTCTCTTTTTTCAAAAGTGCTCTTTTGAAAAAAGGGGCTATGTAATGCAAACTGTGCTTTTTCGAAAGACAGCATCCAGACTGCCTGGGTGCTCTCTTTCGAAAAAGCGGCTTGCGTTTCTGAAAGTACTGGTTGTAGTCTAGACGCTCTTTTTTTGAAAGATGCTTGTAGTCTAGATGTAGCCTCACAGAGTTACTTGGCCTCCTGTTCCCAAAGAACAGTAAACACCAAGTTGTTAGTTAGATCTTTGAACACAATTCTACTAAACACACAGATATATTTAAAGTGTAAATAAGAATAAGTTTATTACCAAAGACCAGAGATTCAAGTGGTAAATCAATGGCTATATATAAAATTAATAACAAGATTTCTAGAGACTTAATTGGCATGTTATCTTCTTGTAATAAAGAAGCTTATCTCACCCAAAGTGGTGTCAACTTTATCAACTTCTTGTAATAAAGTACTGTATTCGACCAAAAATATTTGTCTGTGAGGACGTTACAAGACTGCCAACAGATTTTTGTGGGTGTGCCATTAGCAATACTAATTTGCCCCAACTCAAATTATTTTTAAACATTAAATTTTGTTTCAATAAACTAAAGATGAACATAGTTTTTCATTATTAATAGACTAATTTAGATGTCATTCTAAAGAAGAGCTTTGTACTAAACATGAATATACAACGTTTTGTTCTTTATATTTTTTTAGGTGAAATCCCCACTTCTCTGACTTCAACAGGATGAGGATTTCGCCCTTTGCATTTTTCAGTAGCTTGCAAGACAGAAAGACTGTAATATTGAAAATAAGAATAAATATGAAATGCTAATACATTTGACATACAAGGATTTGAATTTTAATTTATAACATTGATTCATTATATTCTAAGAATACTAACGTTTTCAAAAGAACAGGTATAAAATAAAGGGTAGAAGAATATTAGATCCAAGGAAAAAATAAAATATCAAAAAAACCTTCCAAAGGGCCAATATAATATAAATGTACTGGATTTTTTTAAAGCTAATTCTCTTCTACAGCTTTAAAAAAAGGAATCTACATGATGAAAACAATTTTGGGCTATACTCCCTTCCTCTACATAAACATAGCAATTTACACACACAGAAACTGTACTGAAAATGAGGACAGAAGAGATTAAAGTTTAATACACATAGTTGGAAAAAAGCAAAATGGCAAGAACGAAGTACAAAGAACAGAGTTTAGGGCTAAGCTGCTAATTGCAGGTGGCATTATTATTTATATGGCACCATGAGTGTGCATTCACTATATTTAAATGTAGTGACAGTGAGTTCAACCTAGCAAGGAAAGATAATTAAGAACACTAGCCCCAAAAAGAATGAGTCACTTTTATGAAGACGTAGTTGTAACATCTATCAGCAGTTAATCTAAGATGAAATCTGAGAAGTAATGAAAAATAGGGAGGGGTGAATGGGTCTTTGCCCACGAAAGCTTAGAATAGGGAGGGGTGAATGGTTCAGTGAATTAATGCAGATCTGATCCTAATAACTGGCTTAGTATTTTCAAATGGAAATGAGACTTTTTATATCAGTCTGATTTGGATTCCAGCTGCAAACTACTTGACCTGTTTCTCTGAAAGACATGCATCTGACGCAGTGGGTCTTTGCCCACGAAAGCTTATGCTCGAACACTTCAGTTAGTCTATAAGGTTCCACAGGACTCCTCGCCGCTCTCTGAAAGAGTTACTAAATGTAGGAGAGAACAAGGATAACTTTACAGTTGTGGGAAAATGGGAAGTTTGGGCTGGATGTATACTATTTTGGAGGTTGATTAGTCATCTTGGGCCTGGTATGTTCAGAGGTTCTAAGTACGGACACCATTACTGAAGTCACCAGGAGCTACAGGTGCTACCGACTCCTAAAATGAGGCCCTTACAAGATACCGGAGATTCATAAATCCTAACAGATTAGAAGTATACCATTTCCACTTGGCATACTGAGCTTTAAATCAGCTCATTTGCCACTCATTCTGCCAGGGTCTTAAATGCTGGCAATATTTTAATATTCAAATTACCCTTACAGGCAAAAGAAATACTAAAAATAATTAATTCAAGAAAGAATTCTATTTAAACATTGATTCATGGTAGTTCTGTAAGTCAAGCAGCCAGAAGACACAAAATATTACTATATAATCTAAGAATTATATCTCTTAGGAATTTGTATTGACATTTTATAAGACAGAGATTTCATCCATATTGATTTAGCGCTCTGGAATAAATATACTTTGTGTCAAATTCCCATTAGCAATAGCAGTCATTATATGCATAACTTCCTGAGCTTGCACAGGAATTTAAGCTCATTAGGTTCAGTTAGAGTTACAGTTAGTTTTAAATTAGAATGAAAATGAAAAAAAAAAATACTGAAATGAGACTCGGGAGAAAGGATGACACAATAAAGTCTATTTGAAATTAAAATTTTGATACATTAACTACACAATTCCATCCAGGCAAACTCATTTATACGTGTGTGAAGCTTGAATACTCCAGGATTGTCAATATTTCAGTACTAGATATGTTTTACTGTCTTAGGGTACGTCTAGACTACATGCCTCTGTCGCTAGAGGCATGTAGATTAGGCTACCAGGCATAGGAAAATGAAGCGGCGATTTAACTAATCGCTGCTTCATTTAAATTTACATGGCTGCCGCGCTGAGCCGACAAACAGCTGATCAGCTATTTGTCGGTTCAGCGCTGTAGTCTGGACGCGCGGGTGTCAACATCAAAGGCATTTGTCGACCACCCAGGTATATCTCATCCCAGGAGGCATACCTGGGTGGTTGACAAATGCCTTTGATGTCGACACCCGCGTGTCCAGACTACAGCGCTGAGCCGACAAACAGCTGGTCAGCTGTTTGTCGGCTCAGCGCGGCAGCCATGTAAATTTAAATGAAGCGGCGATTATTTAAATCGCCGCTTCATTTTCCTATGCCTGGTAGCCTAATCTACATGCCTCCGGCGACAGAGGCATGTAATCTAGACGTACCCTTAGTATACAGCAACCACCTGATAGCCATGACTGAATTTAAAATCACGTGGCTTGACAAATCTTGGGAAATCGATTCCTATGGCAGGGAAAGGAACTTTCTCTTTAATTACTTGTATAAACAGTTCTCTCAGTCTTTTGTCCAGATTCCTAATTCATTAGAAGAGGATTGTTACATGCTTAATCTGCAGCCACTCTACTCTCCAAAAGACATCAGAACTTGTTTTACAAGGTCATTTTTCATTTTACATCAGGAAAAAAAAAATCTACTAGACAGATGCGACTTTATAAATATAGCCTCTTTAAATATAAAATTATATTCACATTAAATAAATTACTTTGTAAAACAGTTAAATAATATTTCAATGTAAATTAAATGGCCATGATTTATTAAAGTGTCTCTCTTCAGCAGGCAAGCGCTATTATAAGTACCACTCTTACAGTTACCTTGGCACAGGTGGATGCTGTGTTCATGCAGAGCCCCACTGAAGTCAATGAAGCTCCATGAAAGTGCAAGGATTTAACTGCATAGGTTCCATTTCAGGACTGATGAAATAATGGACTAAACAAAGAATGTGGGAAGATCTGGAAGACTCACTAAATATGCCCTTCCAATTGTTAAAGCAGCCTGATGGAAAAAAATGGCACCTTAGAAACAAGACTAATGAGGTAACAAAAGTGAAATCCAACCTTAAGTTCATGACTCTACAAATCACTATTTAATGAGTTTGAGCCAAAATTTTCAAACTTTCAGTACTAAAGTTAGGAGCCTACACAAATAATTAGGTACCACTTGAGCAAAGCCTATTATCTACTTAATTAACTTTAAGCATATGCTTAAGTCCATACCTACTTAGCAAGCCACTTAAGCATATGCTTAATTTCATGTGTAAGTTTCAATAATGTCAACTTCAAAGTCAAACATATGTGCTTAATG